GAAAATATGGGATGAATGGTGATATTTATATCATTATTGAAGTTCGTAATGTGATTTTTTAGGGTCGTTCTTTTTTTATTTACAGTAAAAAAAAAAATAAAATAAAATAAATATGATTATATATATATGTATATTTTTTTTTATTATTTTTTCTTATATTTGTATATTACCTATTTTTTACCACTAACTGCCTATGATCTTGTAATAACAAAATAATGATAAGGTCAATGCCACATCAATTAAAGTAACTGAACTAAAATATGATGATATGCCTTCATTAGGAATGAGTGTAGTAATTGTTGGTTATACCACTCAAGTGGTTAGAAATATAAAAGGAAATTCGATCATCAATTTCTTCATTGAAGAAAAACTTGGTGATAGAAACCCAAGTAGCTTCTGTCTTGAGGTTAAACATAATGTGAATAATACTTACCTTTCTAATAAGACAAATGCCATTAATCAGAATTTTCGATCTACAACCGCTATGCTTGTCAGCGTTATTGACTATCATCCTCCAACAACTAATACTAATACATCTAATGAAAGAAAACACATTCTAACATTAGAAGACATCTTTCTAATCTCAACAAATCGCATTAACACAAATACTCAAGCTATCAATATTCCGTGATTATCACAAGCAAATGGATCTGCATATGCTTCTAATAGAAATAACTATTTATCTTGCAGGGCCGTCCAACTAACTCCACGAAGAAATTGTAAAACTTTATCTCAAATGAGTGCTACCACAGTATCTACACTTCAAACGGCTTTAGAAACTAACCCGATTCTGAAAATAGCTGACTAACAAACCCCACAAGATCAAAATCAAATTTACCAAAATGCTCAAGTAAATGCTCCCGTTCATCAGGTTCAAGACCAAACCTACCAAAAATGCTCAAGTAAATGCTTCTGTTCATCAGGTTCAAGACTAAACCTACCGAAATGCTCAAGTAAATACTCCCGTTCATCAGATTTAAGACCAAACCTACCAAAATGCTCAAGTAAATACTCCTATTCATCAGGTTCAAGACCAAACCTACCAAGATACTCAAGTGAATAATCCTGTTCATCAAGAACTAGACCAAACCAATAATACATCGAACAACTTGATAATAACAATTTAGCAAAGCCGAAAGCCAAAAGAGCTAGAACAGCTAAAGCCATTGGTAATACTCACTGAATTGATAATAACAAATAAATATTTAACAAGTTGGTTGTAAATCAACCTTATATTTTCTATTTTGTATTTCTTTTTATATTCTGATATTCTTAAACAATATAAATAAATACAATTAACATTTTTAT